ACGCTTGAAAACCAGATAAATCTATACTTTTAGACGCCTGTGCTAATATAATGAAGAAAAAAAAACTAATTTCGACTCCATGAAAGTGTGGCACATACAAAAAATAGGGCTGATAAACACGCTATATAGCTCTGGGCAAGTTACTGAATATAAATAGAAACAATTAGTTGCATAATCTCCTACGGTAAGCATCACGAAGCAACTGCAAGACGAAGAATGAATCACGTTGCACATTCAATTGCATCGATATACAAGAATTGCCGACGTGTAAGTGATTCGATCATTGTAGTCCATTAAAATGGCCGAGTCGATCAGAATAAACAAAAATCGTAGGACCATCTGTTACGTAGCTTCTTATCTGTGTCGAGCGCGAGTCAGGCAGTCGCTGATATGGAGTGATGAAAGGGTTGAAGCGAGGATGATGTATGAGTGGCACCCCTTTTTTTATTCCATATCTTGCTCTACGAGAAAGGGTTTATCGCATCGAATGACTCAGCTATGAATAGTTGATTGTTCTGTCAGAATATCTGCCAACGTTTGATGGAGTGAACCGTTGCGATAGGTGCATCCATTACCCCCATTTGAAATTTGCTTTTCAATATCGATCCTATACTTAAACTAGAAAATATGTTTCGACCGTTAATCCCTGTCTTTCTACTATACTTAGATTTTCACTTATATCGGTATCTGATCATTTCTTTTATAGGTCAAAAATGACCTTTTACATCATTACTATCTTCAGCCTGCAAAAAGCGATCTTTCTATAATTTAATTCTAAGCTAAATTATTATCTATATAATTAAAGCACTACTTTTCACATAGTCTCAAATATGGAAACATAACTCAGTGCCCATAAATCAGTATAGATCATGAACAATAACCTGGGGAATCATTGAGTTAAACACAACCCTATGCATTTAATCATAGTGTAGTATGACATGACACATCAAGATATTCTCTAATAATGATTCTTATAAAGTTTATTGACGTTATGAAACACAATTCAAAAAGCAGACTTTTTGTAATGGAATCACAAGAAATCGATTGTTTGCATGAATTTCAGTAATTGTGAAAATCCTTCAACCTTACATTACTTATTTAATTGATTAATTTAAATATTATTTCTCATTTTAAGGTATTAATTTGCAGATAAAAATGATTGTATAGAAGAGATGTTACAAATAAGAATCACATACACAAAACTGTTATTGTTCGAAATATTCACGAATTAGAAGAATACACAACATAATATCACGAATTTGTAATAATGTTAATTTTAATAATAATAATTTAAGATATTTTAGATAATTCTTCAATATATAAATAGTCAAGAATTTTATTCTACAAAAAATGTATCGAAATTAATTGTTAATTAATACTCTGTACAACTAAACAGAATATCTTTAAAAATATAAAGTATATAACAATATGAATCTTGTATAAGACGTTTGATATACAAAATGGCCTTGTTTATGATATTTTTACACTATAATACTCTCAATTTATCGTGGAAATTGATTACATTCTAGCATTTCTCTTAATACCTATCATTTGTGTACTGCTCTCATCCATCACCTGTTAAACTCACATAAAGAAATAACTTTTAAATATACTACAATAATTTACATCATGATTTATTAGTTTCGATGTATACGCGCTAGATTTATCATGCCCATCATAAGTTTTGCTGGTGATATCGTGAGGTGTTTGTATACTCGTGTAGTATTATCTGTTTATATAACAAATATGGAAGATCATATATTTTGTAATGTTAATGGCAAAAAACTGATGTTTGATCGCTAAAAATATGACAAAACAGGAAATTTTATACCGTTGGACCTATATATAGTAAAGACCAATCATTATCAGATCTTTACAGTCCTATGGCTTTCAAATTTTGGGGTTCTCGCTGTTAGATTAATAGATTTTATGAAGTATTAGAAGACGAATTATGGAATAAAGTGCCATTTATAAACTTAAGTTATTAATAAAATAATATATGGGAAAAAGAGAAATCTGAATCTTCTCTTTCTCGGATAGGATAGCCGGATGGAAATCGGTTAAACCTACCGCTCTAGGGTCCAATGAGTGAGTCCGAGTTGTCGAAAAACTCTAGGAAATTTCATGGGCGGTCCATCACTCATCACCTAGCCTCTCCCTTTATGGGTTTGGTCAAAACAATGGGTATGAACAGGCGGAAAGAGGGCTGAAAGAGTAAAAAATAAAAAAAGGAGATCCTCTTTTGGATTTGAACATTATACAAATAGAAATTAACAAGTTCTTATAATTGTACAGGAAATTCATGAATTTCCTTTGCATTTCTTACATTTAAAGAGATCAGACAAATTCTATTTTTTCTATTATAATATTCATGAACAATTTTACATTTTACCAGAATTCTTTTACTCTGAAAACGAAGCTACATATGAATAAATTATATACAACGATTGTCTTAAAAAACAATAAATAAAATTAATATAGTATACACAATCAAGATTTTTATATTAAACAATTAATATCAAAGAAGATGTAATATTTTACATTTTTCCTTTGCTCGATTCAAAAGTATTAAAAAAAAACACGTTTGGATACTCATAACTTTCTATTTGAAATAATGTAGGCCTATATATTAACGAGTGATATAGAGTAGAATTTTTTTTATCTGTCTTTCAAACATGCTTCTGTTTCAATTGTTCAAAATTCTATAAAAATCCAAATTTTCAAATTTTTAAAGTAGCAGAAATTTTTAAATTTGAAAACTTCTGCTCTACTTATGATAGCCAGTGGTTTATCTAGTCATGGGCAACCTGCGGGCACAGTTTAGTAGTTTTGGATTAAAAATATTATTTCGTTTATTTTAAAATTACTTTATGAGCTTTATTTTTCTATTTTATCTCAACTTCCACTTTTCAGTTATCTATTTGAGTCCTTCCATTAAAGTTCTAATATCCGGGCTGCCATTACGCAACCCAGTTAAGCCGGTATTCGTGACAAAGAACATTTAAACTAAACTTGACTGGTGAGGAAACGATAATAAACTATATATAGTTTATAGAGAAAATTACACTTACTGATTTAACTATAGGTGTACATCTATCTATTAAAAGTAAAATTGTTGAATTTTTAATGTAAAAAATATTAAAAATGTATTTCTAGTGACAAAATTAAAAAAATTAAACTTGAAAATAATTAAATAAAGTTTTAATTTTGTGTTAGTAATTTTCTTTTATTTTTAATAAAGATAATGTTATGGGGAGGAAAACAAAAAACTTTTATCTAGGTATCAAAAAGCTAGTTACGCCGCTAATATAACCAGACAGTAAAATATACACTAAAGTAATAAAAATGTGTACAATAGATTTACAATAAATTGGGAAATTTAGGTGAATAGAAACTCACAAAACTGCTTTTAGTACTGAATTTATCAATTACAAAATAAAAGTCCAATTCTGCAGCAACATCTTTTTCAATAGACAGGATCGAAAGTGAAGTCTCTCGTGACACAATGTTGACCAGAGGTGATTCTCGATCAATTTCAACTTTGAAAATGATCGTTCGACAGATGCATCAGATACAGAAATAATTATATTTTCAATAATTATCAATTTGATAATTTAAACACTAAAATATACTGACAAATTTGTGAGGCTCTAAGTATCGTTTTTTTTTTTTTTTTTTTTTTGCTTATGTTAGTATATGCGAAAAATAAGAGCTCGACCTCCTCTGGCCTTAATCACCTCGACATCCGCCGACTTCAATGAACACAGTCGACGCCAAGAAGGATATCTTTTAAAGTATGAACTGCTGTATTATTACAGAGGCCGTCGAGGAAGCTAGGATTTTTCCTCCTGCTCGGAAAAAACTTAGAAGTCCATGGCGACTCTTGCTCTTATAACTTAATATAATTTTTTAAACCAAAAAATAAAATCTTTAAGACTACTTTTCATTAAAAAGAAACATTTTACGTGTTTCATTTGTTCAAAGAAAAAATGGCAAAAGGAACCCACTCTTCTCCTGGGCTCTATATAAGGGCTCGACGGCACTGATTATCACACTTTTAGTGATCAACTCATTATCATTTCCTTGCTCCTCATTACTTGTACATAATTGCTAATTTAGATTTAGATATATAAAAACAAAAATTCTTACACAACTTTCCGATGTACAAGTATATACTGTACTGTACATACACCTATAGGTTGCTTTTACATTATGTCATGTTGCCAGATAAAAATTTTTAAACCTTATGAAAAAATTATGTAATTTTGATTACAAAAATCAGTTAAATTCGCTTATATTTTTAAACATTTTACGAACGCAATAACGTTTATTCTGGAAGATAAGGAATGTCAATGTTAACTGATATTGCTTAGTAAATCATGGCTACCACAACATAACAATTAACGGAATTTTCTTTAAGGTTATTTTGTATATAGTAAATGTTGGAATTTTTATCGGATCTTTTCATTTTTCAAATTACATCAAAAGATTCAAAGAAAATTTCTCAGAGCAGTTAATTTTATGATTGAATCAAGATATTTTTTGTCTCCTAGCTGTTAAATAAAACTTAAAACTGCAAGATTCCTAAACATATATTGAAACATCTGGAGTCTTGACTTGGCTACGGGCTTTTACAAGGAGAACCCAGGTTCGATTTTCATTTGGGGTTACTTTGCTTTTTTATTATCATGTTAAATGTAAATAGACATGATAAACATCTCGACAATCATCAAGATTTTATCAAGTATTATGATGTAACCTATATTATAGAAGTACGACACGGTTTTTCTATTGTTAAAAATTTCGACAGAAAATAGCTAATTTCCGCTATTAGAGTGCACTGCTAGATGGGCATTTAAATATTAAAAAAAAACCTTGTGTTTATATACACAACTATAGAAATACATCGTTCGCACGGTATCTCTAACAGCGCCTCTAGTGGCTAGTCGACGTAAATAATAGGCATTGGTTGTCTTGGTATAATCCATTAAAATGATTAATTCATTGATTTTACCCAAAGTACGCTCACAATGGGAATGGATTTTAAAATTTTGATATTTATTTATTTTATTTAGCTGCTTACAAAACGGCCAGATGGCTGGGGCGGTTAAGGCGTCAACCTACCGCTTTGAGGAACCCGAAATCAAATCTGGACAGGCGAAAAATTTCTTGAAATTTTTCGTAGAATGTCTATTCCTTATTATCCATTGTAAATTTGGCCGAACCTATGATGGATAGGTCTATGTATTTAAAAAATGCTCTCTTAGTACCCGCAACGCCGAAAGAGCTGGTAATTAATAAAAAAAAAATCGTTATCCTAATTATGTTGCTATGAATTTTAATAATACAGTAACTAAAAAATTACGGTTAGTTTTTAAATTTATTTCATTTAAGATTAATAATAACTGATGAACGACAGATTTAATCGTTGTTGTAAAGAATTAAAATTTAATTGATATGTAAAATAAAAGTATCCCTATTGGCAATCTGGATATTAATATTATTCTGAACCAATATTAATTAATCTGTTATCTGGATAATACAGATTTCAAATGGCGATCGAAAACAGAGAAATCGTCAACATTAATTAATCTTTAATAAATAAAATACGCGTATAAAATTCTTTGTTGCTCAATCGATTATTTCGCTTCTCGAACAGGCAAATCGATTTTATCTTCTAACATTTTTACAATTAGATTTGAAAAATAAAAAACTGAGTGCTTAATGGTGTAAATTATAGAATAAAATAAGAATGTTCATTTGTGTTCACTTAAAAATCGTTATTTGTAATTATAAAAAATTATAAACGAGTTTTGTGTTCTTTTCTTCTGTTCAATATTCTTCGATGCTCTAAATGAAATGAATATTTTAAGAATAATATCTATAGCTTAACTGATAAAAATCAATATATTTTCAATTAATCTAATTATAATTNTTTATATGATAAAATCTATTATGTAATTATATAATGTTGCTTCAATAAATTATATTCGTTTTTCTTGGTTATATTTGAGTTTTGCACTATCTACAGTATTATATTAATAATAAATTTTAATGTCATATTTAAACACCAGGTGAACTTAAAAATACATTTGAATGGCAACGATAGCGGCGAACATGGCGAAGCCCGAACCTGTAACACATGTTATCTTCGATATGGATGGATTATTACTCGGTAAAGATTTTGTGGTTATGAAAAGCGTATAAATTTAAATGTATTTATGCATTTTTCTCTTTTAAAGATACGGAAACATTATATACCGAAGCAGTATCAACAGTGAGTAAGAGATATGGGAAAAATTATACTTGGGAAATCAAAGTAAAATGTATGGGAAAGACGTTTTCAGAAGCTGCAGCAGTTATAATTGATGAATTAGGTTTACCTTTAACTATCGAGGAATATAAAGAACAAATTGAAGAAGAATATCAAAAAGTTTTTCTTAAAACTGAATTATTACCAGGTAATTATGCCAATGTTTACATAAGAAATGATTAAAATCTGCCATAATTCTAATTCTTTAATTCACGCATCATACATGAAAAGTTTGAGAAATCAATATTTAAAAAATCATTCTTATATCTTACATTGCTAAATAATATCATGGATGACTCTAGATTAAGTAAATACCATTAATCAGCTGTTTTATCTTATTACGTATTTAATTATCTTTTGGGTTAAAGTTTACCTTGGTAGTCACAATGGTGGTGCTTCAGTTAGCTTAGGTTGGTTAGGTTAGGTTAGATTAGGTAACTACATTTTTAGTAGGTGTTTCCTTTTTTTTTTTTGTTCAAGAACTATTGTAAACCAATAACTAGCGACATTAAACAATTGGCGGCCTGCTGGCAGCTCCCCGGGAGGAGTCTGTCGGGAACACATACAGTCAGAAGTGTGGCCATTGGGGCTACCAAGGTAAACTTTAACCATCTTTTGTACTATTACATTATTATGGGAAATTTTATAGAAAAAATGCCTATTGAAAGTCTTAAATTTGTAATGACTTCTAATTATAATAAATGTGGTAAAATTTCAGGCTTTGAATGAGGGGTTTTTCAACCTCTGAATTGAAGACTCTCTTGTACGAGCAGAAAAGTCAAAGGAACCATACCTGTATGTGTGACTTTTTGCAAGATATTTACTTCCAAAAGTCAGTTTGTAACATGTATCAGTATACTGCCTATTCTCCATGCTTTGAGTCGTCAAGGTGAGCAATAGTGAGCCACGACAGACACTCTGCAAGTAGTTATGCACTTCAGTGCTTGCTGTTATTCATATCTCAGCATCCAGTGGGGTGAGCCCTTACACCCCCTAAAACTATATAACATCAAGTACTCCACAAACAGTCAAATGGGCTACTCAAAGCTGGCATGGTTGCATAGGTTGCATACATTTTAGCAAAGTGACGCAACACACGATCTCGCATGACCTAATTTTGAGGGGCTGTATCTTGTGATAGGTTGCTTGTAGAGGTATGGCTCCTTTGACTTTTTTGCTCCTACAGGTATGCTCTAAAGCTCTGATAAGGTCCCAAATGTCTCTAGATTAAGTAAATCAGCTGTTTTATCTTATTACGTATTTCAGAGCTTGAATTGAGCCAAAAACATGGCATACATTAATAACTTTAGAAATATATTATTTGAATGATTTATATGTAAATTCAACGCATTAGTGCATTGTAGGGCAAAGACTGGCTTTGTCAATCATGCTGTTATAGATAGCTATGACTGATCTACAGTAGTCAGTTAGTATTACTGAAAAATGGGAAATGATGCTTAAAAAAACTTATTTTTAACTTTTTGTGAGTATAGATTCATTTATTCATTTGACTAATTCAAACAGTTTAACTTGAATGATTGAATGGTAATAAAATGGTAATATTAATGTTAGTTCGAACAGTAACTTCTTTCTTTTATTAAAACAGTTTTAGACCTGAAAAATAGTACTAGTGTTGAGGCTTATAAAATCTTCAAGATTATCATCATGGGTTTCTTATAATATTGAATACACATATACAAATATTCTAAAAATTATGAAAACTATTAAGCTCTATAAACAGTTATATTTTTTCAATTTAGAAGGAACTGTAGTGTATAAACTAGTATCTGTAGTTTAGAAGAAATGTAGATATGGGAATAAATTCAAAACATCTGAAATGTATTACTATATCTATAATTAATTAATTAATCTAAATCAAATACTTTTAAGTCAGCTATATAAATCAGTTAATACTGTATTACCTTGGCATAGGCTCTTTAGTAACCAAAGTGCAACTCTTGAACATCAGCAGAGTGGTTTATGTGTACAATCTGACTATTCAAAGATTTTAAGTAAAAGGCTTACAAGGAGAGCCTACGGTTTTGGGGTAACGGATTTTGATGATCTTTGGTGTAGAGGTAGTACACCATGTGAGTGTGAGTGAAAAAAAAAACTCTGATAGAAAACGCTCCTAGTGAGAATTAGATCGGTCACCGTTAATGATAACAATTAGATGGGAAAGTTGACACATAGGTGTCAAGAATGCGCAGTTATTCTCAACAAAAGTATAAAAATATTAGACTTGGAATAGTAGAAATTAAATTAAAATAAATAAATAATAAGAAATAAATGAATGAGTAAATAAATAAATACATTATAAGTATTTATGAATTAAAAAAAAAATTATACGCGAGAATCGAACCCGAGAACTCAAGCTTATGAATCGGACTCGTTACCACTCTGCCACAGGACGCTCAAATAGAAATACGTATAATTTATATATAAAGTGCTAAAAAACTTTAAGTTCGATTTTCTCGATTATATTTGAGTATTGCACTTTAGTATTTTACAGGTAGTACACTTACATGGTGTACTACCTCTACACCAAAAATCATCAAAATCCGTTACCCCAAAGCCGTAGGCTCTCCTTGTTAGATAATATTATTATATTTTTTGTAAAAACGATTAAAATATTATGGTAGACTGTTAGCTTATTTGTTGTACAGATCATCAATTTGAGTGATAACAACCAAGACTTAAAATTTTTATAACATCAGCAGAACAGTTCTTTTTGTTGCCTTACACATAAATTTAAACTGTTATAATTTCAGGCTATGTTTGTGTTAATATTTTATCAATTAATTTATGGAACTTGATTGTCAGATAGTTGGTTTTCATGCTATCATTTTGTGTTAGATTTAATGAATAGAAATTAATTGTGAATTATTTAATCAAATTGAATATTAGTTTCCAATCATATGAAAAAGGAAATTCAAACTGGAAAATATTCAAATAATATGCAAACAAACTTTTCACTTTCCAGCACAAAATAATTGGACAAATGTTTTTCAGCTGTTTTAATGTATGGGTTGATCTGTAAAGCAGCTTGAAAAATCATTAAATTTGTGCTGGAAAGTGAAAAGATTGTTTGCATGATATAGTTTCTAATTATCAAACTTAATGCATACCTAAGGCCAAAATTATATAATTTAATTAATTAAAAATTATTGTATATATAGCCCAAAATCTGACAATTCAGATTTATCAACAATTAATCTTGGCTTTAATTGTACATAAAATACAATATAATGCAAATAGACATGGAAAAAAATGCAAATGGACTTTTGCATTTTTTCCCCTATATATATTATGTAACTTTTTCACTATGTAATATAATTTTGTTACATGTTGACTCCTTAAGTACTGTACATCTCTATTAGTAAGTCTAGGTAAGTCACCTCTAGCACTGACAATACTATGGACAGGTAGGTATTGACTGCATAGCTATCAATAGTCTTGTTATCGATACTTTATTCTTTGGTCACTAATCAGTATCAATATATCATAGAAAATCTATTGTAATTCAATCCATTGGTAAAAAATTTAAAAGTAATAAATGTCTTCTTTTCCTGACTTTTTCATTGAGAACCTTAATGATGTTAAATAAAGGATAATAAAACAATAATCAAGGTATAAACTTGAAAACAGAAGAGAAATATATATTATAGATACAGTAATACAATAACACATTTAAAACTTTTTAAATTCATCATTCTCAATGTCTAAATATGCAGTCAGTAAAAAATTCTTCCAACTGGTAACAGGAGAGAAATAGTTAGAATTCATGCTAAGAGGGAAACAATTTCTTTCCTCTAGATTTAGGACGAATAACTCTAAATTTATAACTTACAGTATATAAAAAACAACTCAGTAAACCCAATTTTTGATTAAAACAAGACATCTTTCTTTAATTCTAAATTTGCAATGCAAATTGAAGTATGCAGACTGAAATTCATAAATGCGTATACACACTTGGCAGATGTTTTTCATTAAATAACTGTAATGATAGCTTATCATTAGACAATACAGCTTATATTTTAGCAATGCATATATTTTGCTTCTAGAAATTTTACAAATTTTCATTTCTGAATTATTAAAATTTTGACATTTGGATTTTCAATCATCAGATTTATTTCTGTATTACAAGATTGCCTGTTCCAGAAAAGCAATAATTTAGTCATTTTTCACTAACAATAGAAATAACTATTTTTTCATTATTACTATTTTAATGAAACTAAATAATTTGGTATAAAATTAGATGTCTACATATAGTTTAGGTATATTAAATTCTATATACAATTATATTACTATTTAGTTTAATATTACTTAAAAAAGTTTATATAATTATTATATTTTTGTATAAAGTTTTTATATTAAAAAAATTATCATTACTGTATCATGTAGTTCAAGAATATTTTATAATATTTTATTTAAGGAAAGCAAAAATCTTATATAAATTTTTGAACAATTGAATACTATTTAATTTTCAGGTAAAATATTAGAATAACTCTTTTAAATGAACTAGAATTCTGGTCATCTGGACAACTCATTTAAACAATGCAAGATGGAAGAATTAAATTTGGTATGCCTTTCAAGCAAGCAGGCATTTTAGAAACAATTTTTCTAAAATTAATTTTAAATAATAATCACTAAAAATAACATTTGTAGTTGAATATACAAGGGTTAAATAGAGATAGATCAATTTATCAAGAAATTAAATTTGAAATTTTTTAGTTTTTTAAGAATTAGATTAATGAAATCTAGAATTATCAGATTTATGAAATTTAAAATGAAATGCTTTATTTGAAGTTGTTAACAATATACAAAATAAAAATTCACTTATGAGCAGGGCTATGAAGGAGTTTTGGGCTCAGGAGGAGTTTTGAATGAAGTTGGAATTTGTAAAAGAGTAACAATTCTTACCTCAACTTTTACTTAAAGATAGATTTTAAGTTTAAAATATAGACTGATGATTCATATGATAGTGATGAAATGTCATTTGGTAGCATTTGCTGTTCCAGTAGTTTTACCATTACTAAGCTTTTATGAAGAAGCTGGAATTGGAGAGTTAAAGATTAAGGAACTAGAATTGGAGTTAGCAGTTTTGATTGGATCTATGCCAACTCCACACAAAACTGCTAACTCCAA